TTGGAAACTAGTCTGTGAATCAAAGTTCCACGCGTCAAGAATGAAGGTATCATGTGACTGCTTTAATACGTCAATACTAAAGGGTTTATGAACCATTTTAGATTCCACCCAAGACTTTAGCCAAACCACCATCCTGGCTCTTCGGCATGTCGTTCTTGCCTGAATGATCTTTCAGAGGGGAACTTCAGGAGATTATATTCGATGCTAACAACATATTTGTGGACTTGGGCACGACTATCAATGAAGCTGCACATCCTGGTGTCCCTCGGAATTTGTGTAGTTTTAGGATCGACAAATTGGTGGAAGGTACAATTCAGGCCTTTCCCACGGGTCATGCTCATATTTCCATCATGCAAGCCAGAAGAAAGTAGTACATCTCATGGTATAATTCATGGCCTTCTCCTCTAGGTACTTTGTGCGAATGGACCACTGTTGAGGGCCAAATCATTCTGACCGCTATATACCGACAATATAGCTTCAAACGTTCGTTATGATAGACTTGTTTTGGAAGATATAGATTTATCGGTTAAATAGTGCGACCATTGCAATTTGGAGATTTATACAAGTAACCGTTCACAACAGCATCCACAACTATCTATTGAAACCCTTTATTCTTAGTACAATCACGGATTATAGGGGCTTTAAGCATGACCTATAAATCACCGCTGAGTTTTGAGTCGAGACTATGAAAGACTTAAGAATACAATATACCCTTCATAAGGTTTTTGAAAGTTTGATGCTGCCAGATTTCTCAAATAACATCAGTTCTGCAACAGACTTCATTCGAAATGTGGCATCCAATCAGCTATCCTATATTCCATATATGAAGACATCTTCTTAGAAAGGGTGCAAAGAGTATGGGTAAAGGTGTTCAGTAGACGCATACACTTCTCATGTGCAGAGGGAAATATGCAATCAGGTCTACAACCGCTATCATATGGTGTCAATCACGTCGCACAAACCTTTAATGCCCAGCTCTCGCTACGCTCGGGCCCACGCTGTTCTTCGAAGATTTCAGAAACGCTTAGTTATAACGGACGAAAAAACCAAAACACCGATCTGCCGCTTGATATTTCTGTATTGTTACACCAACATATAAAAGGAATAAGCGAACTAAGGTCTGAAAACAAATATTACAATAATAAATCATTGTATTACTTCTGACGATGTTTCAGTCTTCTTTCTGAACAGCGACCGATGAGACGATGACTGTCGTATTGATGCCTCCGCGAAAATTGGGGAAGTTGATTTTAAGCAAACAACCAAGAAATGATCGTTCAATCTTAAACTCCATTGACACTCCCCGGCAAAATACGGATCCAACCCTTTTTTCCTTCACGACCAATACACGTTGACTTGGATGCCATTGCGAGAACCTGGGTCACACGGACAGAGCTGAAATGGAAAACAAACAGAAAAGCCAACACACCACAAGCATACCCACAGCACAATCTCACACATCAATAACAACCTGCGCCTCCAGACAGAGACCTCCTCTTGACATCTTGCAACACAATCGCCACTTGCTAGAATGACTCTTGCAGAATGCAACGTGACCATAGCACCAACTCATGATACTCTACGCACATCGTCTTATCTACTCACTACCAATTACTACTGCAGTCGCTTGTCACTCATTCTGCCTCAGTTCTAGTAGCGGTGACGCATGCGAGCCTCAGTCGTTTACACTCTTTCTCCCCGGCGTGTCGGACCGCAGCTAACAATTATCTCCGTGTGCATTTCATTCTCACCAATAGCCTAGCCTCCCCTGCGTATACGACCCATCTGCTGTCCTTAACATCAATCAATTCATTCATGGATGTAGAAGACTCGAAACAACTTCAGAAGTAATCACGACGAAAATTTTAACAAAATTACGCAATAACAACAAGATACGAAAACAACAAGTAAACACAATGAATCCAAAATACACCGATTGCTATGACACACCACACGTATATACAAACAGTACAAACAACCTCGCCGATCATGTCTTGATTGAATTCCTTTGAAGAATTGCAGGGCTTACACCAGTACGCCTACATTCCTTCTCAGGTTGATGATCCAAGTGGAAGTCGTCCGGACACAAACAGAATTACCAACAGCTAGATGACAGATGATATCAATTCAGTATATACAATATGAACATATGTACAAAATCACACACCAAGCACATTGGACTGCTCATTGATGCGCTACCCTTTGAAGAACTGTAGGACTTACACCAGTACGCCTACAACCCTTCTCAGGTTGACGCCCTAGGTTGGAAAATCGTCGCAGAGTTCATTTGCTAACTTCCTTCTATCAGCTATATCCTCAAATCTGAACGGCAACACGCCCATGTCATTGTATCGTAGAATATAGATGACCAACAAACACACGACATATCTCATCAACCAAGTGTAGAAACAGAGTAATTTACACCAAAGATAATAACATTCAAATAGTAACTTGAAACTAGAAATGCCTTTATTCATGCAAGTCAATTTAACAATTACTCTCTCGTTTACACTTGGCTTATCCTCACTAAACTGACCATTGATATTCGTCCTTTCAAACGAACTGATACTACCATAGTCATTGCACAAGATACTTGAGTTGATGGGTGTCTGTTTCATTGTGGATGACAGCACCAACGATGACTGAGTGACACAAGGTGATGAACTTAGTGGTGGATCAGAAGCTGTTCTTTTTCGGCTCTCAGATAGTTGTCCAACTGCAAGATTACCACCACTGCTGTCTTTCACTACTAGTTCGGGTTTAGCACTATCATCTGATGATAGGTGGGCTACACGCTGATCAATTACACTGACTGTCTCACAAGTATGCACACCTTTTGGAACTGCATCTGCGTTCAATTCTACTTCACGTTGTAGTTGTACAGAACCTTTATTTAACTTAGCAGTAGTAGGCATTTCCCCCATTTCATCATGATCAACCAAAGACAAATCTGCACTATCATGATCATTACCACAAATATTCAATTTACCGTCAAGTTCATCATTTTCAAACTCTTTAATAACAGAAGTAGACAATTTTGGTTCCTCCTCACAAATCATTAAAGGTTTTATATCTTCACTCTGACTAGTTATACCTTGTAAACTTTTGGAGTCAGAACTGCACTCTGAAGCAGTAACTCTATTCTGTGACACTCTATTCAACAATGGCTTACCAGTTGCAACTACAGACTTCTTCACAACAACGTTATCGTCACACAATTCGGAGTCAGACCTGGAGTTTACATTTAGCTTATCACTGAACTTGCTCACTGGTTCACAGTTCACTTCTGTATGCACCTCTTGCAAACGTGTACAACACAACCGTGTTTGTCTTGCATCTTGTAACTTATCTGTTGAGGATGTACTACGAAACCTGTTACACTCACTAGATCTATATGCATTACTAGACATCATGGAGCCTTCTCGATATCCACCTCTCTGAGGCTTATTCGTCATCAATGAGTGCGTTTTACCCTCAGACTGCTCTATTCTAGGGGTGAGATGTAATAGACTGGAAAACTTGCTCATAGATTGATTGACGCTATCTTTTACCAGTTTCAGGATATCATCAAACTTTGGCTCGATACCCTCATCCTCCATACGGGAGCTTATCTTCACCCACTTCCTTTGCAGTCGAGTAGGTAGACGTCTTGCTATTACTTCTAGTATAAAACTCGAGTTGAGGTCACTCATGCGATTCATCGAAATCATTCCATTCTTGTAAATTAGCAAATTATCTAAAAACTCAGTGAGTGCCTGGGAGTCATCCTGTAATTGACCACCATTACCCTTAACAGCCTCGAATAATTTCCCTGCAATCATCGAAGGTCTTCCAAACCTTTGACGTAATATGCTCATAGCCTCGTAGTAGCCCTCTTTTGGCTTCATAAACTTACAGCACTGTATAGCTCTTGCAGCATCTCCAGTGCAATATCTCATCAAATACATTAACTTCAATTCATCATTTAATATAAACTACTCAACATGATCTCAAACTCCTTTACAAATTGTAAATAATCAGCCGGGTTTCCATCAAAACACCGTGGTTCAAATTTAGGGAGTTTGATGTTCCTATTATCCCTGAACGGCGAAACAGTAACATCAACCATGTCATGCTTAACATCAGACACATCGTTACAATTAACAGACAAGTCACCATGACTTACTTTCCTGTTTGCATCCAAGACACTCTGTCCCTTCTTTGACCCAGGCATTGTTGAACTTGACCCAATTCCAAAAACGTTCCAGATATTGCTTGTTCAAAGAGGACTTGACCGGCACCAGGAAAATGAACGGCGACTATCCAAACTTTCACCAACTGTTTGAATCCGCCAGATCTGTTTCCATCGTCAGAAACTGTCAGCAAAGTCTCATAAACCGTTAATGCCCAGCTCTCGCTACGCTCGGGCCCACGCTGTTCTTCGAAGATTTCAGAAACGCTTAGTTATAACGGACGAAAAAACCAAAACACCGATCTGCCGCTTGATATTTCTGTATTGTTACACCAACATATAAAAGGAATAAGCGAACTAAGGTCTGAAAACAAATATTACAATAATAAATCATTGTATTACTTCTGACGATGTTTCAGTCTTCTTTCTGAACAGCGACCGATGAGACGATGACTGTCGTATTGATGCCTCCGCGAAAATTGGGGAAGTTGATTTTAAGCAAACAACCAAGAAATGATCGTTCAATCTTAAACTCCATTGACACATGTATGACTGTGTGACATAGTTTTCTGTATTTCACTTGAAGATTGAAATGATATGTCTAAAACTGCCTATTTGCGAGGACACCATATTCTCAGATGCCGCGATCAATTTCTTCGTACCTGGTAGCCTATTTCCTACATAAAATTATGTATCAGTAGGATTCTTATCGGAAGTATTTAGTATCAGCTCCTATTGATCCATTCATAGCAAAACTGGATATTACTGCCCTGTGAATTGAAAGAATAAATATAAGTCTGAAAACATATGTGTATGGATAATAGGAAAACTGGCCCGTTACTTAGTGCTTGTAATGGAGGGCGAAAAAATCGATTTGGTTTAAACCGGGTCGTGAAAAATATTGGACACGTGATATCAGAAGCGCTTTTTTTCGCAATCACGTTGCGACTAGTTGTGGTAGAAGACACAGGCACAAATCAGCTGATTGCTGCAGTTTTAAGGTATGGTAATGCAAGGTTGTTTTTGAAATTGTGACGAATGGAGTATGTCTTCAATCTTCTGTTCTGGTTTGTCTGACTTTTGGCTTCCTCCCACTTCATTCGCTTTCGGGTGACTCTAAACTTCGGCTTTTCAAAGAAAAACTACCCAATGAACGGATTGGTGACACTGATAAATTTATTTACAGATATTGGCTTAACCTGACTATGAGGACTACCGTGAGAAATTGGGAGGTATTCTTGGAACATATACAAGAATATTATCCTAAGTAACCACTTTTTAACATTGCATTACTTGTATATGGGCGTTTATTTATTTACGCTGGTTGCTGGAGGTAGTCTCGTTTTAGGCTCCTATAGTTTGGAGACACCCACTTTTGAACGGGAGATTGCCTTTATTCCCCCCTTCTCTTGTCCACGGGAAAATTCGACTTAGTATTTTTTAACCGTCACATTTTGCAGCAGAAATGTTCACAGTTCCTCACAGGTATTTTTCACGACAGAATAAACTAGTTTATATACATGAATTTATTGTGAAAGGGTGACGATGTGACAAGTTTTCGACGTTGAACCTACAGTGTGGTTTCTGTTCTCCTTAGTGGCTCCAAAATTACATTTGTAGGCACCAACTTTATGTTCCTCAATACCCTTAAGAGCCCGATGATTTACTAAAATTGGACTTATTCTGCTTGAACTGGCGGTTGTCCACACACTGGCGCTTCTGACACAAAACTTTTAGTGACAGTATCATTTTGGTGGACTGGTTCGATTTCGCTAACTGTTAATTGTAGGCGTCCGGTGGCCTAGTTGGCAAACAAAGTCGGCGACAGTTTCTGATGGAACTAAGCAGATAGAACTGCTGTTGATGACGAGCGTAGTCATCTGCATCTGTAAAAAGTGGGTCAGCCCGCCGAAGCTCTGTGGTGATGATTGGTGGGAGAGGAGTCAAAGGATCACAAATCACTTTTGATTAAGCCCTCCACGAACTGAGTGCGGACAGATTTCTCTGACTGTTGGTTTCCTCTCAGTCAGCCACAGTTCGTAGATGGAGGTACTCCAATGTACTTTTCCTGGTTGACCGGTGGAGTCCAATTTGTAGGTCAAAACACTTGTCCAAGTCTCTTTGTTGGGTTTTACAGTAAAACTCCAGAAAATGACGTTTTGGATTGACATGCAACTGGGACTCCAACGCGAGGTGGCGTAGTTCTTCGATGGGCACTTTTCACCCGGTTGGTAGCCCACTGAATTACCTCCATCTCTTCTCCCAGTTGAAATCTAGACTCAGACTCTATACAACAACTGACCATATCCTTAACGTAATGCATTGCAACTGGTTAGGACTTTCTTACTGTGTGGCGTGCACTCAGCAATGCTCCTAGCGGACACCGGAACAAAAGGTCTGCCGTCTTATAAACGTTCTCACCTATTCGATATATGTCTACCTTTGGCTTTATCGAAATTAGGTCCTACCTGGCTCGTGCTTCACATTATATACCCCGTGACTGGGTCACCATAAAGTCGTATGAAATCCACTGCTAACTACGTGGTACTTCCCAAATAAGTGAAGTGGTCAACGTGGTCTACCAGTTCATTCCATTTTTTCTTTAAACAATAATTTCAACTGTTAGTACTGTTGCAAATGCTAAGATATAATATTTACCCTTGCTTGATACGTGTACTTGCCACTGGCCTCATGCACTTTCATATTTACACGTGAATATTCACTCTCGTCTCGTTTGTTTTTCCTTTCAGCGTTCAAATAACTATTCAGCAAAAATAATGACTAGTGACCCAATTTTAATTTGTGATTGTGAAGAAAAATGCGAACATTGCAGTAGTCAGACCGCTTCACAAATTGATGCAATCTTGCCAAATCCAACGGAACCAATTTATCATCACATTACGGAATTTTGTTATGATTTTGACTCAGGTAGGTATATTTACACATCAAGTGTATGACATAATGACAGTGGCGATTACTTTATACATATATATATGTTCCAAGAAATGGTTGTTGCAGGGATCTATTTGTTTCAGGTTATGCCACGAATTGATATAAGTTAGAGGACCTTTGAAAACCAGTAGGAAGTACTGGACATCTGTTTCATCCTAGTTTGGGACTCATCGGCACTATGTACCCTTTGGGTTTCAAACCCAGGACCTTCCGGTTACAAAACGGACTAGCTAGCCCGTGGACCATTCAGCCACTGTGACCCGATTCAATGACTCATTGATTTATACTTTCTACCAATCCGTGATTTTGGCGCGACCACCACCAAGCAATGTCGTCGGCGGGATCTCCATCTTCTCTCCCTAATGAATGGACTTTACTCGTATTCTCAGCTTCTCACTATAACTCCAGTTTTGTAGCCAGTCAATAGCGAGCATCAGATTTTATTTACTTTGGCTTGTTGTAGGAGTACATTACAAATCATTTAAAAAATTTCTTTACGTTCCCAGTGGAACAAAGGGCTTTTTCTAAATTACTTATCTTTTCAGAGTCAACCATTCTTCTCTTAGCTAAATTTTTATGTTCTTATGTTCAAACTAGTAGGTCGGGGGTAGTCAGACTGTCAGAACATACGAATTTAGCTGAGGTTACAATGGTAAACCCCACCCGAGAAGATAATTAGTTTACAAAAAAGCTCAGCACTGCATGCATTAACATACAACCACACAATGGGGTGGTGAGAGGGTTAAGATTCTAAGGTGTAATCTATGTAGGCGGAGATAGAGATTGATTACTGAATCCTGGTTGGTTCATCGAGTCTTCACCCAACACCTGCAGCAGAAATGACTCAATACAAATACCAGAAATATGTATGGAAGATATTATTACCACCAGTCAGTCAGTCAGTCAAATCAGAAGAGGAAAGTCAATAATCTTAAATTGTATTCTATTTCAATTCAAGCACATCACAACACTCTAACAAGTTACTTATTTAGAGTATAAAAACTCTCGTCTCTTTTCCCACCTGATTGTATTTGATTGATAAAACTCATATTATTATTTCTGAATGTACATTATCCCATATTGATTTTTATTACAATATCTAATCGATTCCACACATGTATATAAATGAAGGAAAAAAGTTGTGTGAGTAGTGTCTTGATATGATTATGAGTGGCAATCGTTTGTGCTCCGAACGTCATCAGTTAATATTACTGTACAACACTGTGTGATTTATCAAAATAAAATCTTATCTATAATGGAGGGTGAGATAAAAGCCAAAGATTACCTGATCACATGGAAGAGAGAGTAAAGATATCCAGTTACACGAGTACAAGGAAAGACTGATGCTAACCGCTTCTTTCTGTACACATAAATTGGGTTTCGGCACTTGGTGGAGATTTCTTCAGTAGTCTTGAAGAAAGGTGAACTCCTTTATCCATTGCGACGTCCATCTTATGACCCTTGTCAAGCTGATACCTATCAATGCCACTGTTAAAAAAAGCATTTGTTCCATTGAAACGTAGGCGTTTTGGTACATGCTCAGAAAATCGGAGATGTGCCTTTCCCCTAATGTAATCGCTCCTCGAGACACATGTTGCTGTTGTTAACACGAGGGAGGTGGGTGTTTGTCGACTTTTGACTGAGTCAAAATGAGGGATGTTGTCCGATAAACGAGAACACCAACTTAGTCAGCTGCAGGACGATAGGCTCTGGCTATTTGAGGTATTCAGTCTTCTTAATATGTGTAAAACTTGGGCACTATATTAGTAAGTAATTCCATATTAGTTTGTTTATTAGATGTATCACACAGTCAGTGAAACACTATTATTTACTGGATTACGTTTCAAACAAAATTTATTGTTCGTAATCATATCGATTGTAATCACACGACTTTGAAACTTGAGTTTTATAGTTTCCTTTGTCTTCTATTTGTCGTCGTTAGGGTAGTATGCTTTTCCAGATATCTGGGTGGACAGGTGTTGAATCATTCCTATTACATGTATTTGCAGTTGATTCGATAAACAAAGCTTCCGTAGTTATCAATCTTTCCATCCACTCTGTGACAGATTTTAAAACTGTCATCCTATCCCATCCTATTTATCCGAGTAAATTAGTCAGGAAGTATGTAAGGAAATGTAAAAATAAGACAAATAATGCTAGTAGCGATGGTGATCATAATAATGATAACAATAATAATGATAATAATAATAGTAACAATAATAATGACGACACCAACGATAAGGAATCTAAATCATCAGTAGTAATTCCATACAAGGAAGGAACCTCGGAAACCACCTTATGCAGAATTCTTAACAAGGCAGACAGGAATAAAGGTGACCGGCATTCAAACACACAAACTCAATTAGAAACAAGCTTTGTTGGTTAAAGGATCAATCCTGTGGAGCGTTTAAAACAAAGCAATTTAGTTTGTCTAATACCCTGCCTGCAATGATTGTCAGGTCACATACATAGGTTAAAGTAGTAGAACAGGGACAGTGAGTCAAACTAGCCGAACATAGAAACCTAGCAAAATCTTGATTATTTGACCCAAATAAGATAAGAAATCTAGAGAATAGTTCATTGAAATAAGTATAAAACTTGGCCACTGTGGTAGAGTATAACTCCATTATGGATAAGATTTTATTTTGATAATTCACACAGTGTTGTACAGTTATATGAACTGATGACGTTTCGAGCACAAACTATTGCTCATAATCATATCAGGTAACTCACACAACTTTTTTCTTTCATTTATATACATGTGTGTGGGTTACTTGATATGATTATGAGCAATAGTTTGTGCTCGAAACGTCATCAGTTCATATAACTGTACAACACTGTGTGAATTATCAAAATAAAATCTTATCCATAATAGAGAACAGTTCATCTATAGCACTACATGCGGTTACACACAACCATACAATAGGATGGATGGGATAAGATGGCAGTTTCAAAATCTAATGTCACAGGTTGGCGAGTGGGGAAAATTGATAACAGAAGCTTTGTTTATCGAATCAACTGCAAATCAACACGTGTAATAGGAATGATTCAACACCTGTCCAGTCAGATATCTGGAAAATTGTACTACTTCGACGACGGCAACTGCAAGTTGACACCAATCCTCCAACGAAAGCTGAAGTCTTGAATGCAATCAAACTTCTGAAGGTTGGAAAAGCAGCTGGACCAGATGGAATATTCCCTGAAGCACTGAAAACGGACCCAGAGACGACAGCAGATATTCTGACTCCATTATTGCAAAAGGTCTGGAAGGAGGGAAAGGTGCCTATTGACTAGAGGAAAGGTTACCTCGTGAAACTACCAAAGAAGGGAGACTTAGGACTCTGAAAGAACTGGCGAGAAATCATGCCCCTGTCGACGCCAAGTAAAATTCTGAGTCGCATCATCCTGGAGATAATAAAGGACGCACTGGATACAGAAAACCGATAAATTAGTTGAAGAAGCAGCCGGCGAAGACAGGACTCCATGTGAACATAGACAAGACGGAGGTTATGAAAATAACCAACCAACAACAACAGCAACATCCAGTGCCAATCACCACCAACGAGAGGGATGTGAAAGAGGTTACTTCAATCACTTACTTATCTAGGGAGGGAGCATTGTCTGAACTACAGGAAGTCGGAACGAACGAGGATGTCAAATCGAGAGAGAATCGGGTGGGGGGCGAGAATCACATTCATCAGCCTGAATCCAATCTGGAAATCTTCGTCACTCATTATCAACAACAAAATTCTGTAGGATTTTCAATACAAACGTCAAGTCAGTCAGTTCTTCTGTACGGATCAGAAACTTGGTGGGTGGGTCACAAAGAATATTTCCAATAGTCTGTTGCAGACGTGACCTTTATCAACAACTAACTGTCTTCACTGGCTCTATACTGAAGATCAGATGGCCGGGGGCCGGAAAGAATCATCAACAAGCACCAAACTATGGGAACAAACAAAACAAGAACCAATCGCCAACCAACAAATATGCAGGAGAAAGTGGAGATGGATTGGAGACTCGCTGAGGAGGCCGCCGCTGTGTGACATCGCGAGTCAGGCCGTTGAGTGGAACCTGAAAGGGAAGCAGCGAGTGGGACGTCAGTGCAAGGTTGACATGGAGGAGATCATGTGAAGAAGAGTTGGAACAGCATGGACTAACATGGATGCAGGTGAAAAGTAGAAGACAGCAGAAGACAGAAGCAAGTGGAGGCGTGCAGTTGTAGCCCCATGTTCCTCTAGGAACCCAAGGGAACAATAATAATAACGACGACAAAGGTGAGAGAACAAAGAAAACTATAAAACTCAAGTTCCAAAGTCGTGTGATTACAATTGATATGATTATGAACCACAATAAATTTTGTTCGAAACGTTATTCAGTCTTCTGTTGACTATTCATTCTTGCAATGTTATCACCTATAAAATCAAGTTGAATGTAAAATACAGTTTTTTGTTCAGCGAAGAAGTTTCTTTTCAACGACTTCATTTTCAAGCTGTGCAGTCGTATTTATATTACATAAAAAGGTTATTAAGTGACACTAAAAAATTGCTCAGTCAATATACATGTATGTGTGGTAAGAATAACGATAATTAAAATGTTATAAAGGGTAGACTTGAAGTGGATGAATTACAAAATTATTAAAGATTGTTTTATAAGTGAATTGATATCAAAAATGTTTTTAAAAATGTCAATTGTTGTCTAAAAATTTTAAAAATTAGGAGTATGATTACGATAAGAATAAAGATATGAAGTGGAATGAATTCAAGTGGTAAAATAAAATAAAAACTAGAAAGAACATTGCTATGACCAAGGTAAAGAAAGGGGTTTGACAAAAGGTTTTTGAACACAATTTAGGTTTCTTTTCATGCATAGCTAAAGCTTCGGCTATGCATAAGTGAAGAAAGCACAAACTTTTGGAGCGATCCGACTTTGCCATGTAGATAACCTTGAAGGATGGATCACGTGGGGCTAAATGACAAGACTGTAACAGGTGATCACAAATAGACGACTTCGCAGTTCTACGTTCGTCTTTCATTAACCAAACTGGATAGTGTTCAGCTATACTTACAACGTCCAATATAATCAGCTCCACAGGAACGGGTAAAAGAATAAATGCACATAGATGTGGACATAAGCGGTAATCTATCCTTGACGCATTGTCTAATCATATTTCGGCTGGTAAAAACTAGTTGCTAGTCAGTCGCAGGAAAAGTGCGTTTAATACATTTAGATAAACGATTTTTAATCACGGAATATACACATTGAGTCATAGGAGTTATTAAGAACACAGTTGCAGCGAAGAAAATTTTCTTGTCAACGAAGTCATCATCTAGGCTGTATTCGTGTATTTATATCAAATGGATGGGAAAGTTCCAGAATAATTTCCAGTTAAGGGTCAAATTAATAAGAATTACAATTAGGAATTAGAATGCCATAATAAACAGGGCGGTGGGACGGATAAAACTCAAACAAAGTAGCATCATAATAACTAAGATGATTGACATTTTGCAATTAGGGGTTAGAAATGTAGAAATAACAAAATAGACAGGATGTTTGGATAAAACACCTAGTGGGATCATAACTTATGTGACGAATAATTGTTTATGCAATCGGGATTAAATATGTAGAAATAGTAAAATGACAAAATAAACAGGAAGTTCGGATATGAAAATATGGTAGTGTAAATTGGGATTAAGAAAAACATGAATAAACAGGAAGTTTAGATAAGAAAGGCAATGGGATGGTCATTACTAAAAGAATTACCTGTTTATGATGGCTATGGCAGGGACAGGGGTTTGACGTATTTCTTTTGTATACAAAGCGTGGGTTTGAGCTTTTGTATAGCTAGCGCCTCAGCTATGCCCAGATGTCTTGACTTCACTCCCTTTGATTTTTAATCAATTCAGAAATGGTGTCAAGAAAGAATCCGCCCCTAGACAAATCACAGTGCCAAAGAAAAAACTGTTTATGAGTCTGGCATTCAAAAGTGACACCATTTCTGAATTGATGAAAAATCGTTTATCATATATATATATATATATATATATATATATATATATTGACTGAACAATTATTTAGTGCCACTTAATAACCTTTTTCTGTAATATAAATACGACTGTACAGCTTGAAAATGAAGTCGTTGAAAAGAAATTTCTTCGCTGAACAAAAAAACTGTGTTTTTACTTATGAATAAATAGGTATTTTTCGTGAATGTAAAATAGGCTTTATATATACTCATATCTCTAAACTTTGAATTTTAAAAATATACATTTCAGAGGGTATACTTCGTCACATTCATACAGGAGAAACATTCTCTGTTAAAATGACTCCAATGGGTCCCTTATTAAAGAGACAAGAGATAATTCGTGCGGTATGTCTAATTGTTTTTTTTTCTATAATATTTTTATTCTATTCTATTTTTGTAAATCATCGTTAGTAACAAAAGGAATATATCCCGAAGATGTGTCATTAGTCATTGTAAAGTATTTTAGATAACAAACTACAAGATATATAAAGCATTAATCGGAGAGAGACCATAATAAAATAAGTAGGTTGAATGATGTTATAATGTAACTACAGAAGACAAGGGCCAGTCAACAGGTGTAAGAAGGGATAACTAAGTGTGAGTTAGAAAAGAGGCAGAAGTTGGCATATGTTAACAAGTGTGAGATAATGACTATTCAATAAGCTCGTGTAGGATGGACAGGAACTAGTGGAAGGGCTATAAAGTGTTTCCGTATAAAATCTGTATGAAAAATCAATGTTATTAATAAACAGTAATAGAGTGGTAATAAAATAAGGATGATGGGAATAGTAATGATAATGAAAGCATAAAGAACAATAGTAATAATAATAATAATAGTGAAGTTACATAATAAAGGAAAGAAGCAAAATTGTAGTAAGAACTTTACTCTGGCCATGGTAGGGCAAGAGAATGTATGTATCGCTCTTTTTAGCTGTCCGAGATCTGAAATCGGACCTCTGCATTCAAAAGCGATACATACATTCTCTTGCCCTACCATGGCCAGAGTAAAGTTCTTACTACAATTTTGCTTCTTTCCTTTATTATGTAACTTCACTATTATTATTATTATTACTATTGTTCTTTATGCTTTCATTATCATTACTATTCCCATCATCCTTATTTTATTACCACTCTATTACTGTTTATTAATAACATTGATTTTTCATACAGATTTTATACGGAAACACTTTATAGCCCTTCCACTAGTTCCTGTCCATCCTACACGAGCTTATTGAATAGTCATTATCTCACACTTGTTAACATATGCCAACTTCTGTCTCCTTTCTAACTTACAATTAGTCATTCCTTCTTACACCTTACATAATGTAATACAATTTTTCAAGGACAAAGTTTACCAGTCGGTCTAAAGATTTCTTTGTTAATTATATTTATAGATTTTCAATGTACATTATTATAGATTATTTTAAGGAAACAAACACAGTCTTCTGATTGGTGGTTTCTCGCTGAACGTTAATCTTTCATCTGTTTGTGGCCTTTTCTTGAATTTCAGTTCATCTATGTGCCTACACAGGCAAAGTCTGCTGTGATTGGTTGTTGAATTAGTCCTTGTTCTTGTTCTTTTCTCATGACCAATATTGGGGACGTAAACATTGACGTAAATTACTGTCCACCGATTTCGGCTAGCAGCCAGATCTCTCTCACCACAATATAACTGATGGGATGGAGTAGAATCTAGCGACAATTGAACGAGAGGCAAGTTAACAAAGAGTGAGATTTAATACAAGCGGGTGAAGCACTGGGGTAATACAATTTTTTAAAAAAAGGCAACAAAAATTATGCATCCAAAGTGAAGAGGTAGATCAGCTTTGTTGTAGATTTGATGATTTGAACAAACTTCTTCTTTTGTATGCAGAGTTCGCGATGAATCACCATTGCTTTTGCGTGGTTTGAAGAAGTTTGATTCGTACTGTTTTAGCAATATTCCCACGTACTCTAGATGACTTTGGAGTTGTTTTGTGTGTGTTTCAGCTTGGCGTCTTGATTCGATCAGGTGTTCTTTTTTATAAAACCATGACTGTGGGGGTAAGTGTTCGATGATACACCTTTGGATAACGAATACTGGCTATGGCCGACATAGCTAACTCCACAGGTGGAGTAGAAGGCTTTCTTCAGTGAGCGGGATAATGAACAGTTTCTCAGTATTTCTACCGATGGGTATCCATTAGCTTGTAGATTCAAGTACAGAAGTCTTTCAGAAGCAGACAATGTGGGCACCTTTAGTGGTTCGCAGTGAATCCAGGCGTAAGACAAGCTGACTGGCTGCCTGCTTATTACCACCAACGATGATATTCCTATTTATGGTGGACTGGATTATGCGTCAGACTGTGCACAAGGAGTGAGTGAGTGAGTTGACAGGAATACGCTGCACTTACCTATATAACAACACTCTACAAGATCTTGATTTAGCAAGTGGATGATATCTGCCGTTTAATGTCACACAAATACAAATTCGAAGACTAACCGGCAGGTGAAAACTGGCAGAGAAGACACGACTGACTCCATCCAGGTGATGAACATCGAGGTGTAGATGGAAGTGATAAAAATAACAGTCCACCACTAACAGCACCAACAACAACCAACACGAATCACCATCAACGGGAGAAAGACGTTACTTCCTGCATTCATTTATCTAGCCTAGGCAACCAGCATCGTTTCAACCACAGGCAGTCGCAACAGATCAAGATGTCAAAGACAGTCTGCCAGCCAATCAGCTAACCGGAATCCGAGAGGCAAGATACGCCTTCATCAACCTAAAACCAGTTCGCTAATCTTCTGCTTCACTCCGCCTCAGCTAGCATAAACAACAAGATTCGCATTTTCAACACAAATGTCAGTGAATTCAGTTAGTTAGTGCTTCTATATGGGTCGGAATCATGACCTGTACTTGTGTCAAGAAAAAAAGATTCCCAACAGCCAGTTGCTTATCTTTATCGTTTATTTCTATTCCTTAATATTTTTAGATTTGCACACGTCTTGTTCGCCAGAAATTGTTCAGCTTAAATATGGAATCAAGTCAAATACCAGTAAGATGATGATTTCCTTGATTATACTGCTGTATTTAAGTAGTATACATATATCTGTAGTGTTTCATGTTTACATTTGAAAAAATTCATCTACATGTATCTTCAATTACACTACTGAAAAGGCCCGTTATGTATCTGAAAAAAGTGTAGAAGGATATATATATATATATATATATATATATATATATATATATATATATAGGTTTGGGTCTGTTTGTCTGTTTTCGACATAGAACTTTGCATATATGTGCACCAGTTAAAGTCGCCACACTCCATGTCGCACACAAAGCAAGAGAAGAAATGCATAATAGAGACAGTAACACAGAGGTGTGAGACAAACGAATAGTAATCACGAAGAACAATATAGTTTCATTGGAAATCCTAAGTGACAAGGAGTAAATGCATCTGAGCCAGCTAGGCACTGAGAACGATTTTGAGCCATATCACCAATTATATCCAGCCTTAATTGGTTTTCGCCATCCCGAGGACCCCAACCAGGGAGTCTGCACCTTCCTACTTCGCTTAAACTAACTGTTGGTGATTTCATTGAGTGGTGCCATGTTTTGGTTTGACCTCCGCTAGCTTTTTTCCAGCCTGACCCTATGACAGCTAGCATTGGTCGTTGGTCGAGGAAGGCGATGGCTAGGCCTACGTAACACATGTCCTAACCACCCATCTCATTCAATGTAGCTTCACAGCCTCGTCGATTGGTTTCCCCTCCTGCTTACCTTGCACTCGACCGAAGTCTAACCTCAATATTGCTCACCTTATTATACCACTTCACACGGGAGCTATCACGCAGGCACCTATTATCGAAGATAGCTAGTCTTTTCATGTCTTCCACTCTGAATGGCCAGGTCTCACAGCTGGCTATAAAGGAGGATGAAGTGGACTGATGAGCAGTACACCGGATATCACGTCTACTAAACCAGAGACGGCGTATGCGAAACTAGCCTGTGCTAAAATTTAGTCAGAGATCACCCCGTTGGCACTGGCTGATGGTAATTCCCAAATAAGTGAAGCGGTCACCGCGCTCCACCAAACACTTCACTCTTTCTAAACTAGGAGTCAGTGTAGTCCAGTCAGTCCTGTAACATCATCTTACATTTGGCGGGATGAATCGCATGCCAAACGTTCGTAGACTGCAGCTGAAGGTTTTGGTGGAAATCTTAGAAGAACAAGGCATATTAGCTAACAAGATTGTTGTTTACGATTAGATCCTCCTCAGGCTTTACTCCAATTTACATAGATTTATATGTAAAACAAAGTCTTACCAATGACCGTGAGTTTGTGTATCAAATAATAATAATAATAATAATAATAATAATGTGTTAAATGTGTTGAACGTCAGTGATAACGATGATTATAATGATAACAAAAATAATAAGAATAATAAGGTTTATATGAGTGGCGATAAGAATACCGAAGATAGTAACACGCGTGTATATGGAGACAATTCAATAAATAAACAAATTAGGTCAAATCTTATAAGTTGCGTAATACTAATACTAAAGATAATCAGAACGTGAATAAATATCATAATGGCCGAAGGAAATTAAAAATAATAAAGGGTGGGAGGAGAGTATTTTTTTTACTTAGACTTTGCCTAGACAAAGCAACAGAGAGGTGAAGGTAGAACAAACTTCTTTTGTTGTTGTATTCAAAGACACAAGGATTGTTCTCTCGAATTAATTCGCATAGCTTCAGCTATTTGTAAAAGGCGAGTTCGAATTTCATTCACAAGGTTCGACGGAATGTGACGTATAAGCTTGAAGGCACTTCTATTGTCCACTTGGTGACCGCTATCATGAATCAAATGAGACAAAATGGAACTTCTTACAGATTTTATTTGGCTTTTTCCTAACTTTGAGGGAGGGTAAGAAGATGCTGAGTAATGGTACGTTTGTTGAGTTGTCTAGGTGTTGTTCGTCCTACATAGCCACAATCATATTTGATGTGTGTGTGTGTATTTGTTCCCTGCTTTATTTGTATCACAGCATATATACCTAATTAACGAAGTTTTATAAAGGCTAGCTATCTTGTATCGTAGGGGTCTGCATTCTATCCGCCACCTTAGGTGGAGTGGTAGTAGGTGTAACATAGTGAGCGAGGAACATTGAGGCGAGGCATCTGTTGAGTGTTAGTTAAGGAAAGAAGAGGAGGTGAAATCAGTCTGTTGACGAGAATGTAAAGCAGTTACATCGATTTAGATGTTTGGAGCATGTGTTACGCATTTATGCCTAACCATCCCCTCCCTCGACTGACGGGCAAACCAGAACATGACTACATCATCAGTCAATGAAATCCACAATCGTTAGATTAAGCCAGCCGGCTAGCCATTCACGTGGGGAGGTGTTGACTGCCCGATTGGACTGCCTAGTGGTGATGGTGATGGCTGGTGCTGGTCCAGATGCATTCACTCACTGTCATCTGTCATATCCAATAAAACTCTACTGTTCTTTCATATTACTACTATTCTTTTTGCTTCACTCACACTTCTGTTTATTATCTCTCTTTGTCTCTCTCGCTTCCTGTCTTTTGAATCTCTGTTTATTTTCTCTTGCTTTCTGTAGTCTATGGAGGGAGAGAGAGAGAGTGGGGAAACTGGAAATGGTGCACATCTGTTCAAAGTAGTTCTACGTTGAAACTAGTCAGTCAGTCATACTATACGTGAAAACCCGAAATGTAAATCTTGTTACTTAGGGTAAAGAAAGACTAAAAACCAACAGATTATTGGGTTTCAAATGTAAAATAAAGAGGATTTTGCAAATACTAATTGTTTAGCTGAGAATTCATCATTGTCTTTTTCATGGTAATCTCCGTCTTCCAATAACACCATTCAAATTTAATAACTCAGCTAATTGTGTTCAGTTGTTGAAAAGAAGACTGCTTTCCGCCCCCCTCCCTCTTCCTTACATACACTCACTGTGAAACGGTTAAATGATCCCCTTGACACAGTGTAAAGTAGTGTCTGATGAAAAAGTGGAGGTGGACTTTTATAAGTATCACAATGACAATTCTAATAGGAAGTTATGCGGGTTGGTAGAACTCTGTTGTGAGTTCATGATGAAATCCTGAAACCAATCAATCAAATCCCTACAAACCATTACTTGACTATCAATGAGATGCTCACTGGTGACTGACCCTATTGAGGTAGGTAGTCACCTGTTGTTCTAGTGGGAAGTCGTCATCGGTGGAATACAGCAAGTGTGTGTGCGTGTGAGGAAAAGTACTCGCCAGCGATGACATTCACTAGTAGTCATGGTGTCTGGTCGTTGGACCGGATCCCAGTGACTTAGTGATCCACAAGCTAGTTCGTCTTGTAACCGGAAGGTCGTGGGTTCCAACCCTTCTGTGATGGGTGCATACTGCTGAATCGAAGTGCCCAACCTGGGCTGGTGGAATAGGGTTGTCCAGTATAACCAGGTTCTCCAGTGCTTCTCTAACTGGTGTCAGTTCACATGATGAAATCCGTGAACTCCGTTCGTAGTCTTGAAATGTGTTGGTCTCATGTTTGTATAATTTTCCTAAATCAATTTTTAGAGCTCTGCCTTTAATCAAAAGAAATAAGAGCGAAATTCTAGACTCAAATTGGTTGATGCATATACTCGTGACTATGAACCAAACTAATTTCTAGAAAATCCAGATGAGTATATGACATCTTTAAAAAGCATTCAACAGCGTCGATCGAGAAGTGATTTGGAAACTATTTCGCTACTACCAAGAGGTGCCACCGACAATTATACATCTCATCCAACAGTTGTACGAAAATGCTGCATGCCAAGTAATCCACAACGGGAAACTCACGGAATCCTTCGAAGCGAAGACGGGAGTAAGACACGGCTTGCTAGTTGCCTGCTATATCCAATGATTTTCCTGATTGCGGTAGACTGGATAATGCGACAGACACACAGCGGGCAATGAAGAAACAGGCATTAAATGGACACACAAAAAACTTGGAGGATCTGTGTTCACCGATGATATATGTCTGATTTCCCACAAACCGGAAGATATGCAAGTAAAAATCAACCAGTTAGCAGAAGAAGCATCCAGAAAAGATAGGACTTCCTTCAGGTGAAAATAGAGAAAACTGAGGTGATGAAGATTCTTGGGCAGCACCAACAGCAACAACAATCAGCCAGCATAAATGGGAGAAATCTGAAAGAAGCAACCTCTCTTACCTACCCACCTGGGAAGCATCGTCTCAACTACAGGCGGGACTGATGGGGATATCAAAGCCAGAATTGGAAAAGCAAGACAAGCTTCCATTACTCTCAAGTCTGTGTGGAGGTTGACACCACTCAGCATCAAAAATAAGATCCACATTTTCAACTCATATGTGAAGTCAGTGCTGCTCACCATACCGATCAGAGACTTAGCCAGCGCGTCATAAAAAGCACCTCGAACAAACTACAGACCTTCATCAACAGCTAGTTGTCTTCGCTCAATACTCAAGATCAGATGGACAGAAATCATCTGCGACAGGGATCTCTGTCAATGAGCGAATCAACACATCAGGAACCGATTATGCAACAAAGAAGCAGGAAGAAATGGAGATGTATTGGCCATACTCTCTCTCCATGTACCACACAAAGGAAGAGAAGATAATAAACAGAGATTCAAAAGATAGGAAGCGAGAGAGACAGAGAGATAATAAACAGAAGTGTGAGTGAAGCAAAAAGAATAGTAGTAATATGAAAGAACAGTAGAGTTTTATTGGATATGACAGATGACAGTGAGTGAATGCATCTGGACCAGCACCAGCCATCACCACGAATGATTTTGAGTCAGTGATGTCACCGATTGTCTTCAGCCTTCATTAGTTCTCACCATCATCCCGAGGACCCTAACTAGGCAGTCCAATCGGGCAGTCAACACCTCCCCACGTGAATGGCTAGCCGGCTGGCTTAATCTAACGATTGTGGATTTCATTGACTGATGATGTAGTCATGTTTTGGTTTGACCATCATCACCACTATCACTAGCTAATTAACTCTTCC